TCCATCGTCCGTCGGAGCTCAAAAAGCACAGTGAAACCCATAAAGGTAAAAAGATACATCAGTGTAGGCACTGTGACTTTAAGACTTCAGATCCTTTTGTACTTAGTGGGCATATCCTCTCAGTTCATACCAAGGACCTGCCTTTTAAATGCAAGCGATGCAAGAGAGGATTTAGGCAGCAAATGGAACTGAAGAAGCACATGAAGACCCACAGTGGAAGGAAAGTCTATCAATGCCAGTATTGTGAGTATAGCACTACAGACGCATCAGGCTTCAAGCGGCATGTCATATCGATACACACAAAAGACTATCCACACAGGTGCGAGTACTGCAAAAAGGGATTCCGTAGACCTTCAGAGAAAAATCAGCATATAATGAGGCACCACAAAGAGGCCCAAATATAAAATATGAGCTGCGGAAGAAAGCAATTTAGAAACTGTGATATGCTAATTGGGGAAGAAAACTCTCACGAACTGTTTCTCCTGGTTTCAAAGCTTGATATTAAATCATAACTTTACATTCTTTGTATTAAAAGTCTTAAAAGTCTTAGGGTTGACAGAGGATCTCATAGCCCTATGATTGTTGCTCATCAGAACTTAAAGAACACTATAAATGCAGAGAGATGAATGAATGTTTGGGAAGCTGCAGAAAGAGACCTTGAATGTCTTCTGTTTAAAGTATTATACATTATTCAACTAAAGAAAACACTAAAATCATTAGCCCTTATCAATGACGCCATTTACCTCCTTAATGAAAACCAGGGATGGGAGCCATTAAAAATATTTGCTAAGGAAAGGCTACCAGATGCAGTTTTTGAACAGTGAACCTAGATAGAAGTCAGTCAATTTGGTCATTATGTGTTTTAATTATGCTTGGAAATAGTATCCAAGGATTGATCCAATTTTTAGGTCTTTTTTGTTCGTTTATTTTTACAGCAAGCATATATTTTGTTGGGAATCTTTGTTCATTTAGGTTCAATGAGCAATTTCTAAGCATTTGTTTCAGAGATGCTAACCTATTTTATTGCAAGATATGGTATTAAAAATTAAGCATTATGGTTTTGAACTCAAAAGGTGTTGTTCGGTGCTAGGGTTAAAGACATGTATGTATATAATTTCCCTTTTTATCTGCAACTGCAGTTGAATGTTCAGTATGGCACATATGACAAAAAGTACCTTTTGACTGATCTAATTATTATTTTTTTAAAAAAGGAAAAAAAATAGATGGATGCAGCTGTTGGTGCTAAGACTTGGCACTGTTCTTTTTCTTGCTAGTTTGCTATCTTCCCTTAAAAACAGTATCACTATAGAAAGCAATCACTTTTTGGGAAAGGCTAGAGAATCTTTAGGGAGCAGCGTTCCTAGCAAGGTAGGACTACTGCAGTCTTTACTTGCAAATAAAAAATCAGTATAGACATGAAAATTGCACCTTTTTAATCAATTCATATGAAATGTATACCATACTATAAACATGCATTCTCAATCTGTAAGAAAGTTATATATGCAGTATTTAACCAGAACAATATGCTGCCACTAGAGTTTGGAGATGGATTTTCAGTTTACAGTGTATACATTTGAAATATGCATCCCTTTAAACAATGCTTTGTGTTAGCATGCTGCAAATCAAATGGCGCTTAATATAACAAGCTGGTCTAGGGCTATTTAATAATTAAAAACTGTTCATAAATGTTATGCATATAATGTGTCCTTTTTTAAACTTTTTTTAAGTTGCTTCATGTTTGCACACAGCTGTTCACATGATAAAGTGTAACTTTACTTCATGCTACTCTATTGTGGGTTTGTGTTTCGGATAATGTTCATACTTTGTTTTTGCACCAGATGAGAATCAGTTCCTTGAGAATAAATTTTTTTTATATTTCTAAACTTCAGAAAGTTAACTTTGGGAAACCTTAGAAAACTACTTGTGTTTTATGTGGCTGTAAAAAATGATGTACACGCTGTAAAATAAGATTGTCACTGTTATGTGGGGTTATTATTTCAAAATGTGTTACTCATTGTAACGAGCATACAATAAAATGCATCTCTTGCACTCCAAACTTTTTGACAAAATTTGCATTCCTTGATCATGCTAATTGAGAAGTATGAATTCATCATTAACCATTTATTAAGAGGCCAGGATCTCTTCTTGATTATTCCATGTCTTGCCTTCTGAAATAAAGGGCTTATGTTGCAGGAAACCAGGTTCCAGCTGAACATCGGGAAGAATTTCCTGACTGTTAGAGCAGTATGACAATGGAGCCAATTACCTACGGTTATTGTGGGCTCTCCCACACTAGAGACATTCAATGTGCAACTGGACAGCCATCTGAGAAGGATGGTTTAACTTGGAATCCTGCACTGAGCAGGGGATTGCTCGATGGCCTTCTTAGCCCCTTCTAATTCTACTATTCTATGAATCTGTGATGGAAGGTGCAGTTGAGTGCTTCCTGCTTTCAAAGCGCACAAGCCTCCGAAATGATGGTCCTCCGGTGAGGTAGCGGCAGCAATCTTGGCTACTGCCCTGCCCTGTACCTTTCATTTAGATGCCTGTTTTCAGCCATCCAGATAAAGTGGTGGGGAGGGGAGGGAACATGGTTGAGGTACCAGTAGCATAGCAAGCATGGCCCCAGCCCCCAACACACCGGCCCTGCTTCAAGGCACATTTGTACTATTGGAGAGGCAGCTGGCACAGTTCTTCCTGTGCCAGTCACAAGTGGGTTGGGTAATCTCAGTGCCAAGGTTGCAGATGCCAAAAGATTCTATGTCCCCTCAGACAATGTCAGAAGGACATAGGCTTGCACCCTTAAAATGGCTGCTCAACAGCTCCTATTCCGTTAAAACTCTTGCAACTTCAGAAAAGGCTAGGGAAGGGTGAAAGGGGACTGGAGAAGGCATGGATCTATACACGGGCATCTTTTCCCCTGCCCCTAGGAAGATAGAATAGCTAAACAGGCCTCTAAACCCATCAAGATCAAAATCCGTTTAAGGAGAAATGGGAAGCAAAAGCCTCTGTTCCTCACCCTGCTGATCAGGGCTGAGAATAAATGGCTCTGAAATCAAAATTCTCCATCTAGCAAATGGAATATGCTCTAAAGCACAATCACAGTAAGCTTGTGAAATGGTTGTGCCTTTGAATTTTCTTGGAATGGGCAAAAACTCATGTAGAGAAATGGTTTAAATGGAATTTGAGTACTTTCCAAGAAAATGCAGTTTTCCAATGTTAAAAGTACTATTTTTAGGTGGGGGTCATTTATTTCTAAAATTGCCCTATAATTAATAGCTGTTGGAGGGATGTACAATTAAAAATTTGTATCAATAAAAACTAGTTAATAAAACGGAAAGAAGAAAAAGGTCTTTCCATGTTATCAAAAGCATAATCCACCCAGGGGCTTGAGGGAGATTACATAGCCACATGTTTTGCAAAGTAATTTCAGCTATTGTCTGTTTTAGGAGTTTAAAATGTATATTTTTTCCCGTTTTATGACTTTTTCTGTATTTTTTGTCTGGGTCTTTTTCCGGTTGTAAATTGCCCAGAGAGCTTTAACAGAAGGGCAGTATGAAATGAGATGATGCTGATGATACCCTTACTGGAATAATGATAAAATCACTGATACTTTATGTGGAAGATTACTTCTTCACAGAAGCATATAGACTTTACAGCTGCTTATTCAGCCATAAAAACATTTTTCTTTTACTTTGATGGAGCCATGGGGAAGGTCATTGAATCTACATATAATGCATGAAAGTAGGAATTCCAGTTGATCACCAATATAAGAGAGTCTAAAGGGAAGAAATCCTTAAGTGAATAATTAGATATCATTCTCCAGAAAAGTACTATGTTTTTTGTCCTAAACTGCCTGGATTAAGTGCTCATGTTGCCACCTCATTCACTTTCTTCTTCCTTGCCACTATTTGTTTGTAAAATTCTTTAGTGCTTGAAGATGTTGGTCATTGATTGTACTAATTGACTTGATAAATGTTTTTTTAAATGTTGATCAGGATCCAAATACTGGGCTCAGCTTTCTCAAATGGTAGCTCCTGACCCTCACGCAATCCCTCTTCTGAAGCTAACAAGAGCATTTTCAAAATCAGGGTTGGATCCATCCTGATGCTTCATCAACTTTGCTCTCTGAATTGAAGTTCCCTACACCTTGCAACAATGTCAGCAGACAGTGCAGGATGGACGAAGAGGAAACGGGGTCTCTCAAAATGAGGTAAAGGAATCTTCTCCAAGTTGGGCCCTTCTTGTGGAATGTAGATCCTTGGTCCAGCAACTCATATGGTCATTGTGATGCGACAAAGTGAAATACTGTATTCAAGTCATTGGGCCTGACTAATTGTTCCACAGAATCTTGGGGGCAAAGTATAAGCAACACTTCAAGAGTCATGAATATAATTTATTGCATTCTTAAAAACAGTTAACCTTGTCACCGGGAAAAAGATTCTAGAGAAACAGGTTCTGCCCCAGTTAACAGTTCTAAAGAAGCAACTGGCTTGATGCTGAGAGATGATAGTTGTAGTCCAGTCCCAACCCCAGGTAAGGGACCGGGTTGAGGGAGCCTGCACCAGACCACATTAGCAGCTTGCTTGGCCATATGTAGTTGGTCTCTTTTGACGCTTGAGTTGCCAACACCCCTCCCACAGAGAGCTCCTGTGTTTTAGCAGCAGCTAAAGTTCCTGCATAGCAAAGCAACTGCTACAGTTGCAAGAGTCCACCTAGCTCTCAATGTAAACCCAAAACTGGCAGCTTGACTACCAGATACATCACATTTGTTTGCATGCTTGTTTTACTTAAACCACTAGGAAAAAGTGCTTGAAAATCTGTGTTTTTAGATTTTACCTTGTTTTTATTCTGTACATTTAAACATTTTACATTTTGTTTTATATTCTGTGTTATCATGTTGTATCATATGGTTTTAACAGCTGGGAAACAGCAACAACTTTCAACAACTCACCACCAGGAATGAAAGTAATAGGATGTCCCAAGGATAGCTAAGAAACCAAGCTTACAAATATCTTTATTTTATTTAAGAAAGACAGTCAGATCTGCCTTTATACAATGTCAAGGCTTATCAATACAGATACAGACTATATGTGTTGACTCCAAAATGGTCATTATCCCTTAAGTTGGGAGAAAAGAAAAGGAGAATCCACACCCACAAACCAAATCATTGCAAAAACCCATTAAAGCAACGCTTTGAAACTACATACCCCAACTCCCACTTTGAACCATTTAGCCACAAAACTCTCCATCTTCTGGCTTTGTAGTAGAGAAGTACTTGGGAATTGTGCCAGGTATATCCAAGCATACTTGTCCACTTGCCATGTGATTTCCTGGCTTCACAATCAACTTTGCCCTACACTTTGCTTTCCCAGATTCCAGCAATATTGTATAGAAAAGAAAGCAAGAGACAGAGAGGTGCACTTCAAACTGTATTTTGGCACAACAAAAAACACCGAGAGCTTCAAACAGATTCCATTTCCTTTTTTCCCCTTTTAAAATAGGTCTATTCAAAAATATAAATATAAAACATATTTAAAATATAAATAGGCCCATTCAATTGACAGCAGAGATCAGTTACTCACATATGGCACCCAACTCAGGGGGCCTTACTCAGCTTTTTCTTCCTGCTCAGGAATGGAAAAAACAGGAGAAAACATACTGAGAGCCACTGCGCTTGGCTGAAAACCCAGATCAGTCCCCACTTAGCCTTGAAGCACACTAGATGACTTTAGTCCAGGCACTTGCTCTCAGCTCAACCTACCTCACAGGGCTGTTGTTGCGAGGATAAAATGGACCTAAGTCACCTTGGGTTGCTCACAAGAGGAAAAGATGGGGTGTAACTGCAGTGTAATAAATACAAGAGGCACAAGCCTGTATGTGGTGGTCAGACATTGTGACCTATGAATTGCAGAATCTTCTCTAAATCAATTATGATTGAGACATTTCCATTTTGTAATTGTTACCACTAAAGAAAGAATAGAAGAAACAATAAGCCTCCAAGTAATTCACTCGCTTATGTATAACAGAATGAGCTCCAAGCTGGTTTGCCCTCCTGTCACATTAAATAGAAACAAACCACCCACCACCCGGAACATTTTATTTCCATGCAGTTTCAGATCGCACTGACATCTCAGTGTGAACAGAGATATCCAGTGAGTTTGGTTTTTTAGTTCACCAAATCTCCTTCAAAACATACAACTCACATATGGATACTTCAGGGCCAAGTCTACCCAAAAGTAAATTCCACAGACTACAACAGGAATAACTTCTATATGCATCAACAGAGCTACACTCTTAAAGCAGTTGCTAGGGAGTATCAGGAAATCAATTCACACTAATAATGCCAAGTTGTTATTTCATTAACAAATAGCTTTATTGGGCTCTGGGTTTTTCAGTATAGAAAATGACAAAGGAAAATAAAATTTAAGGCACAATGTCTATATAGGCCTGCTGGGAACTGCAGGATTTTAAAAATTATTATCTAAACATGCATAGGATTGCATCCCATACAGTCACTACAGTATCGGGAAAATTTAAGTACACTTCCTAACAGTCCCCACTGTTAAAACAGAGCCAGTATTTTTAAAAGGCGTTGTCCTCTTGAGAGCTGAGTCTATTCCAGCACTCCTGAGGACTTTTTTTTTTGGTTTATTCCCCTTGTCCACTTTTGTTTATCAAACACAGTTCCTATCAGTGACTTGGGAAGTGATACAAACTTTTGCTGCAACACCACCCATAATTTTCAGCATGAAAGCACAAGGCAGTTCACTCCCTTTCTGCTCTCCCACCTAGAAAGGGGCTTCATTCATTATGAGGGCAGTCCAGAGAAAGCTGGGTCAAACTGCATCCAACTGGGAGGAAATCTATGCTGCTACATGCATAGTTAAGACATCCTCTGTAAACATGTCACTGCTCTTCCATCCCCTACCACAATCCTAAAGTTACATACTTCCCAAGCTAGGTGGCACGGCGCAGAATCAGCAATAGCTTGAGTGGAGTAAGATGAAACTTTGCTTGTGCTCATGTGAATCCAAAGAGTGCTGGCAAACTCAAAATCGCACGGTGATAATACAATTCCCAAGTCACTTCTGAAAATGCCCATACACCGGATGTAATTTACTTTGGATGGCATCCATTAAGTTTTTCCATGCATGTTCTACAATGGAAAATGATCAATTCATACACTGACCATGTAAGGGGTTTTTTTTTTCCTTACACCAACAGATCTACTACATACAACCTACACTACAGGTTTACTACATACAACCTAACTTTGGTTGTGCAAGCCTTTCTACCTGACCAGAGAGAGCAGTGTGACAATAACAATGAAAGGACAGAGCAGTAAACAGGATTAGATTTCAAAACTGGTACAACTGAAGTCTTTCTTTAAAATGCAGGAAGGACATTACTTTGGCTAAAGGGTAACGGTTGCTTCTGTTGAGCTGTCTGGTTTTCAAAGAAGAGGCTGGAGGGCAGAAAGGTGTCTCTACCTAATGGCATGGTTCACCAAGGGGCAAGTGACAGCAAAGGAGAGTTCCTGGAAAACAGCTGATCCACCACCACCGATCTCTCTGCCATGGGCCTAGAGCGCTCTAGATGCAGCTTGATCAAATAAACCAGAGCAAGCAAAACTGTGAGGAAACATCTCTGTGGTGGCTGATCTCCTGCTGTTTGTTTAACTCTCAGGCTCATTTCTCATCTGTCGGAATAAAAGGTGAGGAGTAATTAGCTGCTTTAGTCAACATCTGTATGAGCTCTGCCGGGCCAAAGACCGTGATAACACACGGGAGTTCACACAGAGTTCTACATAGTCCCAAAGGATGGTTTACAGGGTGCTGCAGTTCAGCTGCCCTGCTTGCTGAGCCACTGTGTTTCCTCTCACTCTGGCTTGCAGACCGTAGGAGGGCTCTTGTGAACAACTCGATCAGCTCCTGCAAGCCCAGAAGCTGCCCACGCCTGTGCTGGGCCAGCTTCTCCATTCCCATCGCTTAATGGGAAAAGGAAGCAGGCCTGGCTGGAGCACGGCAGAGAAGCTGAGGCTGAAGGCCCCTGGAGGACCAAGACTGACCCACCCCACCCACCACCATGAAACCTTTGTGCCTGGCATGGTTTCCTTCAAACCTGGCTGCTCTAACGTCTTAGACTTGAAGCGATAGGGCGGGGAACAAACAAGCCGAAAAATATTCTAACAAGATTCATTTGTACGTGAAAGTCCTCTGATCAGCCGCGACTTGTCCGTGGGACTTGTTCATTCCTGAAAGAAGCAAGCAGTTCTTTAATGGGAAGCAAACGGTGCCTTTTTCAAAACAAGCGAGACATGTTATGTATCTGCACGTGCTCATTAGGGAGATGCTTGAAAAGATAAAATACTATTTATCCTGATCTCATGCTCAAACCAGTCTAATTGCAATTTTTGCATTCCCCTCCCACCACCGGCACCAAATTAAAACTGTCCCATCTAGGATAGAAAAGGTTGCTTTCACATGCCCTAGGTCCAGGACTGGGGAGGGGAGCCTTCGGCATAAAATTCCCAGCAGGGCACTGAACACTCAGAATTCTCCTATTTTGCACCTGAACTTTGTGAATATTTAAAAAGATGGCATTGGGGAACTGGGCCTTTTGCTGGTTCTGGAGTTTTAACAAATGCCCTGCTTTGCTTTCTCTTGACATCAGTCCTGGCCCTACAGCCTGCAAGCCTCAATGGAAGGTAACCTTGGATATGCAGAAATGGATTGGAGCGGCTCTCTCTGTACAGGTGGGGGGGATCCTTTCTGCCTGTAGCTAAGCTTCAGGAGAGGAATTTCCAGCTTAGGGGATGGGGGAGGGAATAGATCCCGGATGGGATGGATGGAGCTCCTTCAGAGATTCTGTAGATCTGCTTATGTCTACAGAATCTGCTTAATCTGTAACTGAAAGGTGCCTACAGAGATTCCCGCCTCCCCAAGCAGGGAGAATTGAGCTCACAAAAAGGACCACTGGAATAGCAGATCTTGCTTCAGTGGTTCCCAGAACAAACATTTCCTTAGAGCCGGCTTACCTGCTTCCATGTTTCTCCAGTTTTCTCAATGACAATTGTCTGTGATTCCTTGAGGGATGAACTGGTGTTGTAGTCATCAGACAAGAGGCCAAGGATGGGGTATTGATTAACGTACCTGGCATTTGAAAAGCATCGGTCAGTGTTGCTGCTGAAACACTGGACATGACACAGTAAGCACTCTAGCACTACCACATTTCAAGTGGCTTCAGGGAAGAGAGAGGAGGGGGCAGAATACTTGAGTTCTTGGTTTTAATGGAAGCAAAAATGGAATGTAGTCATACACATACACTGGATTTACACTGGATTTGGGGAAAGTTGATTTTAATAAACTTGAGACAATGGTAATTAAGGTCCCATGGCAAGTGACCTTAAGGAAAAGGGGGGTCCAAGATGGTGGGAGTTTTTAAAAAGAATTTTTAAAGGCACAATTCCAAACGATTCCAACAAAAAAGACAGAAAAAACTGATGTGGCTGCACAAAAAAACTTCGAGTTGAGCTAGAAACAAAAATGGGCATGTACAGGAAGAGAAACTGTGATGGCCGTATCTTCAAGTTATTCATCCCTGCTCTGCTGTAACTCCACTGGAACACATGCAGTGGCAACAAAGCCGTGTTGCGCCCTGTGTATCTCCGCCTCTTCCTTCCCTACTTCTATTCCTCTGTTGTTCCCCCACATCTCAGCTAGGCCTGCCAAGTTCCTTTCAGCAGAGACCTATCTCTGCCATCACACACACTACCAACAGCTGGCTGAGTCAGATTTGCAATATCCTCATGCACCCTTCCTCAGCCTGCGGCTCTCTCCAAACCCAACAAACTACAATGCCCATCCTCCACACCCACCACAGCTTCCCCACTTTGCCAGCCTGAAACCACTCCTTCAGCATGTGCTCCAAAAACAAGGGCACACTGTTTCTCTGCTTACCCATTTCCACTTCCTTTGTTGCTTTCCTTTGTGCCAAATTTTAACTGTAGGCTCCTTGGGGCAGAGATCCACAGACTGTGAATGTGCCGTACACCCCAATGGCATAGTATAACAATAGTAAAACCAGTAACAACAACAGTAATGGAAGCTAGGTCCAGTGGGCTTACTTTTTGGTGATGATTGTTTTTGTTATTCCTTGGGTTGGGCTGACTGCTAGTTTTTCTTGCTTCAACCTGAAGAGCTCCTGAGAGATATTTTAAAGAAGATTTGAGGCCAAAGGGGTTCTTGCTTAAGACATATTAATACATTAAATATCACAAGTAAAACATTAAATTCTCCAATCCTCCAGAAGACAAAGGTTTGCTCTATCTAAGGACTGCTTTACTTCCCTGTCCCGATCAAGAGAAATTTAGCTATTCTGAGTCTCACTCAATTCAGTGGGGTTCTAATTCATGGTAAGATTGCAATACGAGGGATTAAGTCCTGCTAAACCTACTGACTCACTTCCCAGCAATACAGAATTTTGCTGGACTTTTCACTGATTTCGTGGGCTGGATCCCCATTTCGTCATACTTATGAATAGACCACATAAATCCATGGTCCTTGGCTAACTGAACAATAACACGAATCAAATTATTTTTCCTCTCTTTACTGTAAAGTAGAAATACACAGAATCTCCCTGGAAAAGTGACTAGACCAAGGCTTTGGGATCATCCTGCCACATGGGGCAATGCCCAGTTTATCCTCCAGGGCAACAGCAGGCCACTCCAATCATGTACCTTTACCACAGCTGTTCTCAAAGCTTACCTCTTCATACTGCCTGATGCAAGACTCCTTCTCTTCCAGTTTTAAAGTCAGCTCCTGCAGCCTCATCTGAAGGTCCACATCTGTCCCCTGCTTCCTTGAAAGATCCCTCTGGAATTCACAGAGCTGGGACTAGGTAGAAGTAAACAACAGAACACATGCTGAGCAGCAGAAGAAAGACCACTTTGTGACAGACAAACTAAGAGAGTTCCTTTTCTGAAGCAGAGCAGCAAATCTTGCCCCACCCCGTCCCACCCCACAACATCCCCAAATCACAGGGCCCGGTATCCAAAGTCAGCCAAACTATTTTGGCACATGAGGCAGAAAATCCCGTAAGCAGCTTCCCCCGTTACCAGCAATGGAAATACAATTATTAGGCAAATCACTAACTCCTCACTCCAAAGGACTGGGCAACAAGGTAACCCACGCCAGGCAGGGCTATTGGGGAACGTCTGCAAGCTTGGCGGGGGAAATCAGACCCAGGGCTTGCTTCCCTCCCGGAAAAAATATGAACCTGCTTCATCAAGACCCCTGAATGGAACTCCTTCCCAAAAGACAGATAGCGGATTCCATTCACAGCTGCTTTTAGGGTGGTGGTAAAAGCATCCTCGTTTTTGCAGGCTTTTAATTGAAAAGGTCTCTTGGCAATTGCTGCTGATCAATACTTGGGAGTATTTTAATGGGCTTATTTTATTTTTAACTCGAGGTGCTTTGAGAGCCGCTATGGTGCGGTGGTTTGAGTGTTGGACTGGAGACACTGGAGATCCAGGTTCTAGTCTCTACTCGGCCATGAAGTCCTCTGGGTGTATTTGGGCCAGCCGCTCACTCCCAGTCTAGCCTACTTCACAGGGTTGCTGTTGTGGAGCTAATTGCTTGGGGTTCTTCACAAGAGGAAAGAAGGTAGAGCGTAAATGCAATACGATGAAGATAATCATATTGTCGTATAGCAGAGCAGGTGTGACTATCGAACTGACAGAGAACTTTTTATATGGACACAGATTACATTGTCAGTTGCCTTAAGGAAAGCAAGGTCTTGACTGGCAGCTGTGCAAAGTCAGTCCCCATCACACCGACATACCCGAAGGCTGCGGATCTCTCGGTCTTTATCCTCTCTGAGTTGGTTGATCATCTCCACATAGCGGCTGGACAGTTCGTCAGCTGTAGTCTGAGCCAGAGGGTTAGAGGAAGCCTGTGCAAGGGAGGATTTTTGCATCAAAGCAGAATCATAGAATAGAAAAGTTGTAAGGGGTTGTGAAGGCCATCCAGTCCACCCCCTGCTGTCGCAGGACACCACGTGACACCATCCCACTCAGAGGGCTGTCCAGTTTCTTTCTGAATGTCTCCAGTGTGGGAGAGCCTACCAGCTCTCCAGGCAGCTGGTTCCACTGCCACAGTGCTCTGACAGTGAGGAAGCTTTTCCTGATGTCCAGCCTGAATTTGGGTTGTTGCAACTTGGGTTGATTATTCCGTGTCCCACACTTTGGTTTCAGCAAGAAAGTGAGTGCAAAAAAGATCTCAGATCTCAGTCATTCTCACCAAATGGAAATCACTGATTCTTCGAATGGACACATTAAGCCATTTATAATTACTGCCACCATCAAGACCTCTTCATTTTTCTTTCCAAACCAGGAGCACATGGAACTAGATGTGGAAAAGCACAGATCTGTGCTTTGCTGCCCAGTTCTGCTCCCCTCTTTTACCTTGAATCAACCCCCAAGCCCCAACCCAGGCCAACATTTTAGAATTCCAGATGTCCGGCCCAGCGTGAACAATGACAACGGAGAGCCGCCTTTCTTTACCTGGAGTCGCAGATTCTGGATTTCTTGCTCCAAGGCCCGTTTGCTGTATTCCAAGTCTTTCAGCCGGAACTCCCGCTCTCCATCATTGTGTCGGAAAGAAAGCAGCTGCTCCTCCAGGGAGCGGCACTTCAGAGTGTATTCTCTGAGGGCTTGCTGTGAACACACAACCCAAGAACGAGTGAGCCTTTATGAGCATCCTCCTCCTAGTTTCGGAGAATCTACTCACAGCAGGAATTTGCTGTCCTGCAGTCATTCACATAGAATGTGGTGCATTTTCATCTCTTGTTAGAGCATAGCTGGGGATCTAATTTTGTGAAAGGGGGACCCAACCACCCAGCTAGCCCTCTCTGGGCTGAACGGCACCCTGCAAGCACCAGCCTAGTGCAATGCCCCCCCTTTCCAAGCAGAACCCTCTTAGAGCACACAAGATAAGATGTCCTGCCCACATCCTTCACAAGTCCTCGGTTGCCTCCAGACCAGGCATGTCCTTTGGAAACCATGGAGGGAGGCCAGGGATGGTGGCATGGCTTTGAAACCCCCACGAGCCAAATCAAGGGCTTCCTCAACCCCCCAGAATTCTGGACCGTCGTTAGGCACCCCGTGCCACATTGCAAGCTGTTTTTCAAAGCATGGGTTACAGAAGGGTAACTGGGAAGGGATAGCGGAGCATGCCCTGCCTTGCCTGCTGGCTGCCAGAGGAAGGGGGGTGGCTCTTGCCAGAAGGCTGAATAACTCTTTGCAGAGGGCTTTCAAAACCAGGCTGTGAGCCACAGAGCTGAAGGGCTTCAGGTTGCAGCTCTTGCGTTAGGGGAGCATTCCAACATGTATCCAGTATCCAGAACCTTACAGTGCAGGAAGAGTTTTGACCCCCTGGTTTTGCTGAGAGTACAAACCCTTAACAGTTCCAAAGGAATGGTACCCTCCAGCTTTGTTCCCACAACAATTTCTTTCCCAATTTCTGCACCCACCCAGTGCATTACGATCCCCCAATTCCAACTTTGAGGGACACCTGAAAGGGACATTCTGCCTACCAGCCCTTTTATTCTGCCTCCAAACCATCCTTGGCTAAGGCAGAATTGGGAGTTTCTGATTCACGCATAAACATGCGCGCTTACCTGCTGTTGGCGGTTATTCTCTCGCACTGATGCCAGAAGAGTTTCGTACTCTTTTACTTGAGCTTCTTTGAAAGACAGGTCTTTCTCAAGCAACATCTTATCTGTTTCCAATTTCTGTAAAACCAGGAGACACATGCATTTTTAAGGTCTGCTTTAAGTTAAAACAGCACGAGCACTTCAAGAAAATAACTGATGAAAAGGACCCCTTTTTACCTTCAAGCCCAACCTGAAAATGATTCAGAAATGGAAAGGTATTTTTCAGCGTGCAGGAAATGGGGCAGAACTCTTCAGGGCCAAAGCCAGGAAATTCTTCACATTTAGGTGAGGAGGAGGTGAGTAGAGCAGAAACACAATCAGCGCTGCATCAACCACCGACCCACGCCATGATCCAAGATTGCCTTGCCTAATTCCACCAGATACAAGTATGTTGCTTTATCAGTCCAGTCTTGGATGGCAGCCTTGGACTGTAAAGTATGAACCAAAAAGTCAAACACAAGTGGACACGGGCTACCCAGCAAGGTTACTCACCCCCAAGTCACCCTGCAGATGGATTAGCTCCTCCCGAAGGTTGCTGAAGGTTGCAAGGACGAGTCTCATCGACTTATTGGCTGTTACTCTCATCTGGGAGGAAGCGAAAGGGAAGATTTGGGGAGTAAGAAGATATCAATTGAAAATCAAAACTATCAAGGTACAAGATACAGTTTATTTCTGCTCAAGGCATTCAACTGACTTGAAATTCCTTTAAAGGATTTCTTAGCTTATTCCAAACATTTCACAAAAGGATATGTATGTATGTTATACATACTTATTAGAAAATTTGAAATAATTAATGAGCAAATATTACTTCCTGAAAAGTCAAAGTAGTATTTCTGCAATACAAACCTGAGCCAAAACCCTCTCCCTATTTTCCCACAAATTTTAGTGTTACTGTTGTTTAGATAATTTTCAGGCAGATTCCTATGCACATTAGAGAGAAAAAGGTCTACTACTCCCAGCATGCTCCAGCCAGCATAAATTTGCCTAAATGTGCATGTCTAAACTTACATAGAAGAGGCGCCTTACTGCATTTCATACCTTTGCACTGCTGCTTTGTTTTATTTTGGCTTTTATTTCTATTTTGCACTAAACTTTTCTGGTGAATGCTGCACTCTGTGAACCACCCAGACAGCCTTGTTTACAGGTTGGTATAAAAATATAATAATTACATAAATATTCCTGCTCTCAGCAACACACACTCATGCCCCCCAACCTTACCTCCAGGAGGTAACGGATTTGCTGCTTTGTTGATTCAGAAAGTGCTTTGGGGATCAAACTCTCAATGTCTTCCACCTATTTTGTTTTCAAAGGACACAAGAAAGAAAATCAGGCATAAACACCCTCCTTTACATTCAAGAGCGCTGTTCTCAGTCAATGCATTTATTTTATTTATTTATTTATTTATTTAAAACATTTCTATGCCGCCCCATTCGCCGAAGCCTCGGGGCAGCTCACAACATTGAGTTAAAATACAAAACTAACAATATAAAATAAGTCGCCCTTTTCCTGTTACTGCCACACACTTGACACACCAACAAGTACATAGCCCGCACATTTTTGGCAAGCTAGTTCCAGACAACTAGCTAAAAACAGAGCGCCCACCAAATCTCTTGCGGTCAATTTCTTCCAAGTGGAAAAGCCACCATGCCACTTTATCCATCGTTTTGACCAAGGTGTGGCTGCAACAGAGCTCCCTCTTGTGACTTGTAAACATCAAATATCCCTTGTAACACCCTTCTGCATCATCCACTGTGGTCTAAGAGGGACCTCAGTATCACCCAACGCACAACAACCGAGCATTCTATCTGCTCAAAGGCCATCACCCCCAGCATTTCCTCTCGAAGTTTATCAAGCAGACTACAGCAATTTTCTCTCCCTCTTTGCATCCTCCAGGGACAGGTCCTTGCCAAAGCCAGCTAAACCTCTTGCTTCTCTGTTATGTTTGGGACCTTAACCGTAAGGCAGCTCACAATCGTGAAGCTCTCTGACTGCATGAGAGCAGGAAAGTTGTGAGGGGTATGCTAGAATTCAGCCACCGATCACAGCTGCTGGAGATCTTTGGTGTACTTACTTGACTCAGAGATTCAATTTCGTATCTGCTGTAAGAAAATACAGGGCGACATTAGAACAAAGCATTTCCAAATCCACTGAATAATTTTAGGGGATACTATTTTTATAATTTCTTTTATGTCCTCCTCTTGAAGTACGCACATCTAAGCTTTCATATTATTATTATTACTTTAATAAAAAGGCGTTTCTGTTTCTATAGTAAGGAACTCCAGAACATTTCAACCATCTGGGAAAACGATCATGACACACTCCAATTATGCTGCGTATCGAGACCTGCTCCAGTCTGGGTTCAGGCCTGCTTTTGGAAGCAATCAGCCAGCGTGAGATCGTTATTGGGCTCCATAATGGCTTGGCCACAGTGCCTTAGATATTAGTCACCTCGAGAGGGGATTAATTCAACTCACTTTATGCTCAGCTCTAGTCCAGAAACTGCAGCTAGCACAGAATGAAGCTGGGAAGCTGCGGACATATTACACCTTTCAGCAGCATGTTCCCCTTCTCTTAAAAGGACAGCATGGGCTGTTAATGAGCTACTGGGCCACGTTTAACATACAAAGTCCTCAGCGACTTCGAAAGGTACCTTAGACCAGCACCTTCAGTTCTGATCTTTGCACATCTGCTCAAGGCTTACTCCTTCCCCAAAGGCCTGTTATGCATTACTATTTGATCATTGCATTTTACGATTTGCTTGCCGCTTTGATAAGTTTTCTTAAACATATATAACAGCAATATGGATGGCGCAGCCCAGCATGCAGAACTGGAGGGAGCTGCTTGCAGAGAAGAACCCAAGGACCTCCCCCTTCCTGATTCCTTTCCAAGAAACAAGCTTTCCCAAGCAAGAAGCAAAGAGTCGACAGCAGCACACAGAAAGCAGCTGTGGAATGTGGCCTGAGGAGCAGTTGAAAATCCCCAGGATTCCAAGGAAGCTACAGGTAGGGGCAGAGTCGCGGCGTACCTTCTGCCGAGCTTTTCCACATGCTGGAGCAAACAGCTGTACAGGTCATTGCTTTTGTGGTGCAGCTCGGCTAGGAGCTCACCAAAGTATCGCGAGTCCAGCGGGTCATTTGTCTCTTGAAAGCATTTCACCTGACAGGAGGCAGTAAAGGACACTGTTGCAGCTTCTTCACTCACAGATCCCATGTTGTTATTTTTAAAAGAAAACGTAACAGCCAGTGTGCAAACTGTTGATCCGGGATATTATTATGCTTCTGTTTTTAGTTACAAGGATGAATTTCTTACCCAGTTTCAACTTTCACTTTCTATAGCATCATTTAAGTTTGTACTACAGTTTCTTTGATCTTCTTGTATGCCATGCATCAACAGAGTATTTGATTTGCTACAGTTACAAATTGAAGTTTAAATCACAAAATGTCCTCTAGAACAGAAGGGGAAGGGCTGCACTGGAAAAACAGTGAGGAGGTTATTAAGATTCAATAGTGTTCAAAAGCCGGGATGGCTTTGGGAGTCATTCAAGGCCTTATGAACTTCAGCTTGTTCGGAAGCACACCAGTGATAATCGGTTTGAGGTCACTTTCCTCAAATATATTAATTAGACAAGAGCTGCTTTTGGCCATGAGAACAAAAGCTGTTTCCTTTACAATAGCAGCTTCCCTGCTCCCTCTTGCAAATCCCAGGAAGGCGGCCTGTTAATGCCTGTAATAACAACCTCTGAAACAGTGGGAGAGGAACCCTATAAAATCGATGGCAAAAGGTACTGTCTTTTGTTCTTCACCTGTGGAGAGAAACAGGTGCATTTTTTGCCCAAGCCACTGGAGGCCTCTGGAAAACCCACTGGCCTTTTCAGGGAACCAGATGACCACAGCTAAGGGGTGACAGAATAAACTTTCCTTTGCTTGTTTATATTCTGCATCCTTATTTCATCACTGAATTCAACAACCGATGCCGATTTCCTTTCTTCCTAAGCCTCCTCGATTTGTGAGGTACCTTGGCAAGACTTGGCCGCTAGCAACTGATGCAGGTACCTTAAAGACTAAAACAAATATTCTGGCCTAAGCTTTCATGGACTTTGTAATTCTGATTATGGATCTTCAAGGCTAAATTGTTTACCCAGTGGCAGATTGGGTTGCTGAAGCCCAGGATAAACAATTAAAAAAACAAAATAAAGGGAG